TTACTTCCAGCTGAGAGCAGCTTGTTTGCTGGCAGGTCAGATTCACTTTAAATGTGAAGTGGTGTCGGAATTTACAGCTCCGAACCGTAGTAAAGAGACCTCTGTCTAATAAGTTGGGCTCCATGTGTACACAAGTGTGACAGTGTGACACAAGTGAGTGAGTGTTGGGCTGGAACGTTAGGCTGTATGTTGTTGTTGTCACATGACTTGCTAATAAACCTTACTACCCCGTTGGGTAGGAAATAGATATTCTGTTAAAGAAGGAGCTTTAAGATCTTCAGCGCAGAGGGATCATCACACCAGTAGAATGCAGCACAGACTGGATCAGTGGGATGGTTGTGGTCCAAAAGCAGACTGGAAACTTAACGGTGTGCATTGATCCAAAACCCTTAAACAAAGCCCTACAACGCAACCACTTTCCCTTGTCCACCATTGAGGACATTTTGCCTGATCTATCAAAGGCTAAAGTGTTCACTGTCTGCGACATGAAGAGTGGATTCGAGCAGGTGAAATTGGAGGAGGAGTGAAGCTACCTGACAACATTTTCGACTCCGTTTGGAAGCTGAGGATGCCGATGGGGATAAGTCCAGCTCCGGAAGTGTTCCAGAGAAAGCTCACACAAGCCTTGGATGGACTGGCAGGGATCTACATCATTGCAGATGATGTGCTGATTACTGACCACAGAGACACAGATGCTGAAGCAGTAGTTTACCATGACGGGAAGCTGAGACAGTTTTTGACTCATTGCAGGCAGAAAAACATTAAGTTGAATGCAGAAAAGTTTAAACTTGAACAGAAGGAGACTACGTACATTGGACGTCAGCTGACATGCAACAGTCTGAAAACAGACCCAGAGAAGGTTAGGGCTATAGAACAAATGTCCAGACCTACAGACATGAAGGCAGTACAGAGACTGTTGGGTATGGTGAACTACTTAGCAAAGTTTTGCCCACATCTGTCTGACCACTGTGACATACTGAGACAACTGACACACAAATACAGTGAGTAGAACTCGGCGCCTTGACATGAGGACGCATTCCAGAGACGGAAAGAGAGTATAGCAGAGGCTCCGGTTGAGAGCTGATGTTTCATATCCACACCGCCAGCCTCGGTTGCCAGGGATCGGTCCGTCAGGGTCTCTGCCCTCGGCTGCCACAACACACAATCCACCCTACCCCCACAGTGCTTCCTGTGGGTGGGGGGCCTACAGGAGGGCATAGAGACCTTTTTGTTTTTTCTTTCTTTTTTAAAATTACTTTTAATCTGTCACAGTTGGCTTGTTACCTCATGAGCTTATTATAGTTTTCCTTTTTCTTGTCACTTCCTGTTTTACTTTGTCATTTTGCCTTTACTGGTTGTGTTCTTCTGTTCCTGTTTGATGCCATTGAGCTCTTGTTCCTGTTCTATTGTCTTGGAGTTCTGTTGTTGTTAAAACACATTGTTCATTAAAATTGTTTTTATTCAGTGACCCAGTGTTTTGAGTTTTTTGTATTATGTTCTTAGTTCTCTTTGTTGTCCCAGCTTATTCTTTAGTGTCTTAGTTTGGTTTTTCTTGTATTCTGTTTAGTTCTCTGAGTATTTAGTAGCTGCCCTCTGTGTCTCTTTGTTGTTGGTGTTGTCTGTGTTTCTTAGTTGCTGTCTCCCCTAGTCTAGTTTGCGTCTGTGCTAATCCCTGTTTTACTTTGAAGGTCTGTGTCTCATGTGAGTGTATCCTACTTTGCTCCCTTGTCTCGTCAGTTCTGATTTCTCCCAGCTGTGCTCTCCTTCTGTGTCTCATTCCCCTCGTTACTTCCCAGTGTGTTTAAACCCTGTGTTTCTCTGAGTCAGTGTCGCGTCGTCCCTCTTGCTGTGTGGATCTCCCTGTGAGTTTTAGTCCATTGCAAATAAAGCTGTGATTTTGAGTTCATCCCCTGAGTCTGTGAGTCCTGCACTTTGAGTCCTCATCTCCTGCCTGCCACACAGCGTTTCATGACACTGCCTTTCCAAATCTGTGGTTTCCTCTTACATCTGCTCAGGGGCGTTCCCTAAACCTGGACACAAACCCTCTGATGTAAACACACACACAAAACTTTACACTTTAAATAAAATAGAAGCTTAAACACTTCTAGTTTGAAGACACTGTGTTTTAGTGTATATAATGAGTGCCCATTTCATAGGACATTACACGCTACAATTAAAATCTTGGCAAAGAGGAATTTCACAAAAATAACAAAGATGTGAAATTAAGTGTCAGAGTCGTCTAATTCTTCTAAATGAGGTTAAAAAAAGCTGTAAAACAGCTAAAAATGACCTCAGACTATTTGCTTCTGTAATCCTCCGTCTCCCACATTGTTTCACCCATGGCTGACATCAACTTTGAATTCAGCCTGGCTTGGTTTTGCACTCTAAACTGGCTTAAAGCAATAGTAGCAGCAACAGCATCATCAAAAGTAAATGTCAACATTTTTATTACAAGTATTTTAGTGAGTGATAATGTCATTAATTTTACTAGAGGATTAAATGAGGTCTGCAGATTATATTTAACTCTGTGAAAACTCGTTATTTTTGCCTGTTTCAAAGTAAATTATTATAAGTTATGAAGACAGTACATAAGCAGAAAATAAAAAGCTCAAACTCAAACGTCCTACTGTGTATGATTTAACACCATAATAAGAACATATAATGTAATATACAGTACAGCACTCATTATTATATAATATCAGGGTTATTAATCTTTTTACCTGTCATTAGTGAGAGGATGAGCAGTAGAAGTAACTTCATTATGTTTGTTTTGTTCTTTAAAATCTTTATGACTTTATTCAAATGCAGTTAGTTCCCATTCGCTTGTTGGCTGCTGAGTTGCTCTCCAGTGTCTTTTCTTAACTTCATGTTTTATGGAGCCTACATTTTCTTGCTGCTCCTTCCTGTTTGTACTTCCCATTTTGAAATTGTTTTAATGCCCCCTTTCAACATCACACACTGCCATCTTCTCATTTTTAGTAAAGAGGAAGTTATTGGTATGTGTAAGTTTGAGAAAGATGGACAGCTTGTTAGGGTGTCTGGATCGTCCACCTTTCTTTGATTTTGTTTATTTCATTATATTCTAGCTTTGTCTTATGGGTTATAGGATTATTCTCAGTTTAGGTTCTCTATGTGGGTTTTGTTAGAGTTTTATTGTTCTGCTTTTCTGTCTTTGATCCATAGTTGCTGTATCCCCGTTTGAAGTCCGCATCTCTGTGTTATGTTTCCTGTTTTACTTTGAAGTGATGTCTTATGTTAATGTGTCTGGTTTTGCTTCCCCTGTCTCGTTAGGCCTGATTTGCCCCAGCTGTGTTTCCCTCCTGTTACCCATTGCCTGATTGTGTATTTTAGCCCTG